GTGAAATGGATGAAGATTTGAAGATCTAAGTCAAAAGAGTTGGATTTATGGATGAAATCAAGGGGTTTCACTTGAATGTGAAAGATATTAACTCAAAATGAAGGAAATACTTACCACTTTGAAGAACAATGGAAGTGTTCTTGATGATAGTTGAGAGAGAATTCAAGTTTCAACCTTGAAGATGTGAGGAATGAGGAAGAAATGAAGGAATTTGGTACTTAAGGGAAGGGGTTCTCGGCCAGCTTGGAGTTTACGGTCGTAAACCCGAGTTTGCGGCGTTGAACTTCTTGTAATGGAGTTTCCGGCATGATTTTGACTCGACGAACTTAAGTTAACACATCCCTATCCACACACCTTGAATAAACTAGGCTTTTAACACTCAGACAGACCCTTAACAACGCCAAAAGATAGTAGAAACGAGTCTGACTTTTGATTGAATTGATTGACTTTACAAGATAGAAATTTCGGGTTGTCACAATATGTTTGCTAGTTGTTACCTTTATCAGTCAAAACCATATGTATCTCTAACCACAATAGATTAAATATCTTAACAGTTGGAAGAATATAGATTTCTTTTTGTTTTGACTAGCCTAAGTGTTGAATCCTTTGAGCCATCAGGTTGTAAAATAGGTACATATCTTGTGATGCTTCGAACTAAAATGTGTAAGCCATTGATTTCCATGTTTTTGATTTTGAAGGAACATGAGCCTTACTGAAGGATGATCTTTCTAATTCAAGTGGAAAAGCATTGCATACATGGTAACTTATTTTATCAAATACTCTAGAGATACGTGTAGCCTTTCCTCCTTTTCGTTCATCAGACCATTCCATTGAAGTGATGTTGTTGAAGCTTGTAGATTCGTCTTAAACTTTAGTCTGAAAGAGAATATGAAATTACCAACACTCAAAGATTTTAATGCCTTTCGTAATCCACCAGAAGCTTTTATGGCATCAAAAGCTTCTATAGAATCATCTTCCACAACGTCGATAATACTGATGATGTCGAGGGTGCAATCGGAGAAATGAGGAAGAAGAAGAGGGTTCTAAAGAGACAACATCTTCCATTGCTCGTTTGGGAAAAGATCAGATGTGGGAAGGATTTGGTGCGGTGGAATTCATGGACTTCGATGATGAAGAAGGTCAAATGAGTGGAGTTACTAGGGTTTTGGTAGGGGAAACTAGGGTTTTCGGGGTGATTATTGTTGGTTGGGTAGTAGGAGGAGGAAGTGGATGTGATGAAGAAGATTGTCTTGTAAGGCATGGCTGTGCTGTTGATAACAACGAGGCTGACGATGATCGACACTAGGATGAGGAGGACATTGTTCTCATAGATGCCTTTAACGCGAACAGAGAGAAAGGGAGAAGTTTTAGTTTGGTGTAGCGCGTAACGATTAACTCTATTAGCTGATTCAATGAAGGTCACCATTTAATCCTTTATCATTGTCATTTACCAATTTCCCCTATAATTTAGAAAATTTTACAAAAATGGTGGTTTGACTAACGGAATAGTGACGACGTATAAATTAGTTTATTTTCGTTGGTAAACCTTCAGTGACATGTAACAGACTATCAACATAAATGATTTTCTGTTGCTAAGCCGTTGAAAAAGCGTCGCTAAAGTCCCGATACTTAGATTTTCATAATCCGTAAAATCCGTCGCTATTCCATCTCTGTTACCAACAGATTATTCCGTCGCTAAAATTCTTTCGGTAATACCTCTTTTTCTAGTAGTGTATAACCTAGTGATTATTATAAACACAACAAACTCAAAGCTTAGAAGGTGTATGAGCTTTCTTTGTTTCGAATAGGCATCTCTCAAGGAAAAAAAACCCAAAACAAAAAATGTTAATATAACAACAATATATATAAACACAACAAATGAAAGCCTAAACATAGTACAAATTTAATCTCATACAATAATGAAGTAATTAGACACTCAAGAGGTAGATTGCTTAAAGAAGAAGGTACAGCCGACAAATTGAAGAATCAAACAAAAGAAGTGGCAGTTGGAGGTTGAGAGGGATGTATGGGGTGGTTTATTGATTCAACATCAGGGGTAGGCAATATTGAAGCTATAATCATCTTTACTCTTTCCTCAAACGCTTTAATGAGCAATTTATAAAGATGTACGTATGAGCACACAAATACAGTGACTGGAAAGAATGAGATCATGTACAACATAATGTTTGTCCAATCCTGCCCACTACTAATGGTTAGGATTAGTGTGGCTGCAAAAGATATCATCATCATTGACACGGAGAGTATCAACACTGTGAGGCCTAGGAGTAGTTTATTATGAAGAGAGTTCTTGAAATCCTTTAACCGAAAGGAAGACGTGAGGATGGAAAGGAATATGATAACTGATGTCAAAGAAAATGTGAGGGAAAGTGCATCGGCTAGGGCAAATACAATAAAAAATGGTTTGCTCTTGAGAAGTGGATAACCTGTGCTTTGATTTGGGCCTCCAGGTACAGTGTAAGCTGCAGCAAAGGCAACTGTGGCAATTAGCACAGCAACAATGGAGCAATGTTCAGCTGTGCTTTTCATCCATTCTTTGGCATCAATGCGAAGCTGTGCATTGTTCTCGATGAATAGTTGTTCAGCAGTCTCGCCTTTGTTATTTACCTGTAAGGTTGCTAAGGTGGTACATATATTTTTCACACTCTGGATAGAATAAGAAAAGAGATGTCAGAAAGGTTATTATGCATATCATACTACTAACGCTTCAATTATTATATAGGGTTAGAAAGTTTTGGTGTGTGTAAAAAATGAAGCATAAAGGATAAAATGTCATTATTACCTCGAATAGAAGCAAATCATCTCGTAGCACGACAGCAGGGCTTCTGATGTCCCCCTCGGTTTTCTGATCGCTAACTTTCATGCCTACCATGTGAAGTATTGAGTTGCCTTGTTTGTCAATCTTCCCCCTTAGCCTCGTCAAGGGAAACTTCATGTTGATCACAGCTTTATAGATCTCCATTCTTCGATATTTAATGGCTACATGCAAAATGTCACGTCCATCCTCATCAATATGCTCTACAGCCTGAGGGTACACTTGCAGTATTTCCTTTACAATCTCTGTACAACCTGATTTTGTGGCTAAAAACAATGGAGAGTCATGAGTAGGAGCATTGATGACAATATCTACAGGAGTTATGGTTGAAGACGATATCCCTCCTCCATATTTGTGGGGTTTAATTCTGTTCTGGTTTGACATGGGTGATGTTGCTTCCCATGAGGCATCTTTTTCAATTAAAAGGGTTGCAAGTTTATTTGCTGATTCCGTTTTTCGATTTTGTTTCTGAACTTCTTTCAGGATAGGCACTCTACTGGTTCTTTCTTTAGCACTCAAATCAGTAACTGAGATCCAAGTAAAAGTTAACAAGTTAAAACGAGTGTTGTTAACTTGTTATTGCTTAACTAACACACTTGCAAGTATGCATTGATCACTGGACTGGACAAAAACTTTCAATATCTTTTTTTTTTTTTTTTTCTTTAAATTATGATGTTAAGAAGGTCATTCACATCTTTTTATGTAAGATATGGGAGTGAATCACGGAGTCCCTAATTATCCCAACTTGTTCCCCTTTTTTGTGTGGGAATAAAAATGCAATTTTTGTCCCTTTTTATTCCACTCCAGTCCAATACATACGCAAATACAATAAAGGGTCTTGTGTAACAAATAGGGCCTTAGTATTATACACGTAGATATGAACCGCTTGAAGAAATTCTCTTCGAATCCATGGTTGAAAGCAGATGGCTTGCAGGCAAGAAGTTGAAGACCAGTCATCCCATCTCCATCCAGTTCACCGATCAACATTGGATAAGCTTCAGCAATATCATGAGCCAAATCTGTGCATGCATGCGCATTCATATATTAGAAATTCGGGTTGCAAGAAATTTTTGAAAAAAAAAAGACCATATATATATCACTGTAAACACACTTACCAAAGTTCTCACTATGGATTGCAACGTGAAGTATAGTTGCTTTATCATTTCTTCGAAGAAAACCTGTTAAGTCTGCCTCTTCTGGAAATCTCCTACTCACTTCACCTTTAAGAAAATAGAAACTCTTGATCTTGCCATAACGGGCTGCACGGAAAAAAGGCGTCTCTCCAAGCCTGTCAGTCATGGTGAGCAATGAAGGAGCTCGGTGAAGGATCTCAGCAGCAGCCTCGACAGTCTTATCATTGGTGGCTGTGGCATGAAGAATCGTGTTTCCGGCTTCATTTTTTAATGTAAGTTTGTTGGGTTCGTCTTCAGGTAGCAGTCTGAGTAGCTGAAGAACGAGCTTGTTACGCTTGTAGTAACTAGCGATGTGGAGAATAGTGTCGCGATGTATGGTTAGCTTGTGCAAAGGACCATCTGGCAAGTCTCTGCATGCATCACATACCTTGGCGTCATCTCCTTCCGAAAGTGCTTTATACAAGTCAGCATTGATCCTTCTGTAATTTCTAGATGTCATGTTATCAGCCATTAATTACAACGACTATGTAGAATGAACAGATGAGCGAAAGGCTAATGATCTCAGTGTGTGTGTGTGTACAATGCTATGCGCTACTGCAAAATTCACTAAGCTTGAATGCTTTAAAAATTAAACATTGTAAAGTTTGTTGAGAGAGCAGAAAGCACTCTGTATTAATGCTTGGTCTTAGGTATCCACAGGCACCTTTAATCTGCTTTCATGGACATTGTTTCACTTTAGAGAAGATAAAGGAAAAGAAGTCTTGTATATCCGCAGATACTAAGAAACTTAGATATTACTGCAATAGAAAGGAAAAGGGAAAAGGAAAAGGAACGCAGAAGGAAATGACACTGGCAATGTGATTGTTGTGATTAGTGCTTTATAGCAAAGGTCATAGATTAAGAAAAATGGTAAATTTTTATCGGATTCCTATTTAAAAAAAAAAAAAAAAAAAAAAAAAAAAAAAAAAAAAACTATCGTATTTGATGCGGTCTCCGAATTGTACTAAATTAAAGTCATACAAAATTAAAACCTAAATTTAACGGTGTTAAAATAGTATACAAAATTAAAACCTAAATTTAAGGGTGTTAAAATAGTATACATTATTTATTAAACTATTAAAGCGATTGAGTATCCATGCATTGAGATTAGTATAAAGAAGATGGCAATCACTTACTTTAAATTGTATGATTTGAGGAAACTAATAAGACCATCAAGAATGATAAATGACCTACCCGAATTTTAAAACATTTGTGACGATTGGTGATAGATTAACGAAAATGCTGGACCTTGGCTAATCCGTAAAAAAAATATGCATAAATGAAATTTTGTAACGATTGAATTTCACATTAGTATATTACTCAATCTAAATACTAGAATATCAATGTGTCATTAATGATTGAACCCTTTGTATTCAAAGTGAATACATGAAGATAATACACACACCAATTTACATTCTAATAATTTTTAACTTGACACTATATTTTACTAGCTTGTGTCCCATCCTTCAATAAGTATATCAAAGTCAAGTCTTAACTTTTGTTGCAACTTCTGATTTCTGGTACGCATTTATTTATAATTTATTCATTTTGTAGAGGTACTCAACGAGTTGGGAGCCTCAGACTCGTCGAGTAGAAAAGAGATTGGACACGGGGTTTTAAGCAATCTACTCAACGAGTTGTGATTGCTCAACTCAGCGAGTAGGTCTGCGAGAGTGAAACCCTAATTTTGGGTTTTTGCACTCTATATAAGCATCTTAATCCCCATCTTATGGCATCATTTCCAGCCTCCAAGTCCTAAACCCTAATCCACGAAACCCTAGAGCATTTTGTGAGTGTGTGAGCCATTCTTGAGTAATCTTTCGATGTTCTTGAAGCTTGAAGAAGAAGAAGGAGCTAGAAGGTTCAAGGAGAAGATAGTAGATCCAAAGACTTCCTTCCATCCTCATCATTTTCTGGTAATCAAGTCTCTAACTTGGCTGCTAGTTCATTAGATCTCCTTAGTTCCATTTTATGAGGGTTTTGGTTCAAGAATCTTGATCTTTGGGACATGGACGTCCCAAGTGGCTTACCTTTCAAATCTAGGATCTAGAAGGGGTTTCATGGCATAAACGTGCAAACTTTATGACCATGGAAGCCCCATGCAAGCTTAAAGACGTTATTATGGCCTATTTAACCCCCAAAAGGCCATGTATGGAAGTAAAGTCTGAGATGTTACGTGTTCATTTGGTGTCTAGGACCCAGATCTCGGCTTTCATGCTTTGGGTTGGAGTAATAAGGCTTTTGGACAAAGATCTATGTCCTAAGGAACTAGGGTTTTATCTAAACCCACTAAGAAGGATTATTAGCAGGTAAAGTTGGAAACTTTATCCTTAAAAGGGCATTTCCAGTATGTAGATGAAGTATGGATTTTGGATCTGGAGAGTAGAGGCTTAATATGTTAAGATGGCCCAAACAGACAGA